ATAAAATTTAATTATTTTATTTTTTTTCTATTGGTTTTTAAATAAAACTGACTTCTAAAAAATCTCTTTCAGTTCACAAATGTGTTAATGATTTGGGCAGGAAGAGTGTCCAGCAAACGTGACAAGCTAAGTTCTGGGCCACTGAACATCTCAAATATGAAGTGATATTATTAAAGAAAAAGCTCAGCACACTAGCCATAAAACTGTTCATGTGAAAAGGAAAAATCAAAACAGATAATTAAGAGGTTATTTCACTAAAGGAAAACCATTTTCTTATCCATTCTTAAACCACTAAAGCAAATCTTAAATATAATATAGAATGTAACTTGGCATTGCTTATCTATAAATACTAATCAAAGCTGTTTTATTCAATAATAAGGGTATTGTTGCTGATTAGGTTCATCTGCTGTTTGCCTTCCATACAGGATATAATATGTAGTAAGTGTTATTTTTTTTTATTTATAAGCTTAGAGATTGTATTATTTTCCATTTTATTCTATCTTGTAAGATTTCAGGGGCTGGTGGAGTAGCTCAAATGGTAGAGTACCTGCCTAGCAAGCACAACTCTAGTACTGCCAAAAAAAAAAAAAGAAAAGGTCATTTGTAAGATTTCTACTTTCCCAGCCATGAAATGTTAGAAAAGCTTTTATTCCTCTACAAACTTGTTCCTTTTTGGTGTGAACAGTAAGACTGGGTCAAATGATAGCTCTTACTAGAGCTAAATTCCAGTTAAAAAAATAAACAGTATTTATATCAAACATCATCTAGAATAACAGATTTCCCATCACTACCTTGGAAGGAAGTAGAAGGCAGCTATTGCACAGCCCTCCACCTACCTGCTTCTCACCTCCCAATCCCACTTTTTTTGGTGAAGGGCAAATAGTGAATAAGCTGTCATTCTACCTCAGGAACAAAGCTCTCAAAATTCATGTACTTTACCCCTCTCTACACCATTACCATGGACCAAACACTGTACTTTCTGTTTACCTGAAATTTGACAAAAGTCTTTCTTACCCCTTAGACCATTTTCTACGATTAGCTGGAGTGATCTTTTCAAATAAATTTAATCCTGCTCCCCTCCTCCTACTTCTTCTAAACTATCCAACCCCCCTATTTTTACCAAGCCTACTTTGTCATTACTCTTAGGATGAGAGCATCCACACCTTGCCCTTTCAGATCCTTCTCACCAGTCTTTCCCTCTGCAGGTGTTTATTTGCTCCAATGTTTCTTATGTAGCAAATGCTCTTTCCCTTCTTCCACTAGTTTAGTCTTAAAGATGCATCAGTGCTCATTTTAGACAGCAATTCTTTAAGGACACATTTCAAATATCCTAAATCTATGATAAATGTCCTAAATCCATGGCAGTTTGGGGTTTGAACTAGGGCCTCTAAGCAAGCACTCTACCATTTGAGCCATACCCTCAGCCTTACTTTGCTTTAGTCATTTTTCAGACAGGGTCTTATTGTTTTGCCCTGAGCCCTGGGACTATAATTCTCTACCTGAAGATTCTCATGTAGCTGGGATTGTAGGTCCAGTTTATTTGTTGTGGTTTCACTAATCTTTTGTCCAGGCTGGCCTTAAACCTGGATCCTCCTGATCTCTACTTCCAGAGAAGCTGGATTACAGGCATGAGCCACCACCACCTGGCCCTCAAATATAAGATGTATTCTTCAGTATTATAGACCAGTGCTTCATCAGTATACAGAACACTTTTAATGCTGTGTGATAATTTGAGTCATGCCTCCCTGTATTAGAATGCATGCCTCCATAAAAACAACTATATGTATTTTTGCATACCACTGTATTCATAACATGTGACATACTGTCAGGTACAAACTATATGCCCACTAAACACCCTATAAGTGCCATATGAATAAAAGAAGACAGATGCACTGATACCATTTTCAGTATGTTAAGAAGACCAATGTTTTTCATAGACCTTTCACAGTGCTTAATTAGAGACTGCCTTAAAAAAGTCTGAACATAGAGTATGCTTTTTTTTTAACTTAACTGTAACCAGGAAAAAGAAGTCAGCCCATCCAGACAGTTTTATAGAAATTCTTATAGCACTGCTTTTAAATTTTTACAGAAACTATAAAAACAGTTTTACAGTTTATTTACAGTAATTCTGCTGGCAGAGAAAACAATGTTGTTTGTTTCAAGCCACAGAACATATAATACCGTGAATAAATTTATCCAAAACAAACAAATCATAACTCTAAAACAAAGAATGACAATAAAAAAAAAATCCATGTCCAAAAGTGATTGCTTAAATGTAGCAACATTAAAGAAAGATTAAGCAAACAATGAATGGTTCTTGTTGCAATTCCAGAACAGCAAAATTTCTAGTATTTCCTAAATAGTGAAAAACACACAGATACTACTTTATATTTAATTAAAAGCATCTGCAATTGGACCTAGTAAATGATACCAGACTCGGTTACCATTTACATAATCTTCTGGCTTTGTCCACTTTTTTCCAAAGGGAAAGAATTCTTTATCTGAAACTTTTTTTAAAGGTAGCAACTTTAAACACTCCAAATTCAGTGTTTCTAAAATAAATTGAAAAGAAAGTACCTATATGTTTAAGAAGCTTTGGAATGAGTCATGAAAACATAAATATTGTAAGGAATATCAGATCAGTACCAGTGGAAGTCAAGTGTGGAAAATTCAGGCAAAATCTTTTATTTCATTCCACTAATGAATTCTCTACCCAATGTGTCAGATCATACACCAGATCCTAAGACTACGAAGATAAGTCTCAAAACAGTAATTAGTATAAAATCCAAGAGTCCCAACAACAGATAAATAACTTGATACAAAAAATTTTTAACATTTACAATAAAGAATCTACAATTTTGCTATTAAATTCATATTAACCACCTTATGAATATATGCATTTTCTCATCATGTCAATCTGTGGCTTCAGGGACAGGAATACATGAAGACAGATTTAAATCTCTCGTATGAGTTACATGGCATACACAAAATTTATGTTTTGTTGGACCTACACCTTTCTTTCCTAGTTATGAACTCCAAGTCTCTAATAAAACATTTCATTGCATGTGACTGGGAGCTATGAATAGAAGATGAATTGGAGATAGCCCCTACCCTGGACAAGGCTTATTGACTACACTGACTCATACACAAAAAAGTAGGAATTAGGGACTGTGTGTCGTGTGATAAACACAGTGGTCCAAGGGAACAACAACACCAGGACAGGATGTACGTTTTTCCTAAGAGTGTAATTTGCTCTCATGATTCTGCCAACAGCCTCATTTTTTCACATGCTTAAATATAAGATTCTGCAAATTCAGGGCTTTTTTTTTTTATAATGGTACTGGGGCTTGAATTCAGGGCCTCCACCTTGAGACACTCCACCAGCCCTTTTCTGTGAAGGGTTTTTTTCTTTTTTTGAGATAGAGTCTCGCAGACTGTTTGCCTGGGTTTGGCTTCAAATCGCAATCCTCCTGATCTCTGCCTCCTGAGTAGCTAGGATTACAGGCACAAGCTATTGGCACACAGCTAAATTCACAATTTTGACAATGTAATCCACAAAGTTTAAGATTTAAAAAATTTTCACCTTATATTTAAATTTAACTGTTACATAGTTTCACAGTTTATAAATTTTCCTAATGTTAAAGAATAGCATTGGAGATAAACTAATTGGTTTGAAAGTATATTTTGTATGTAAATTGAAACTGACTTTTTCTTCTGGAAATAAAGAACATAATGAAATTCTCATTTAGGAATTAGAGGTTTTTCTATTTCTCTAGTTCACATTCTGTTTAGCTTCTTCTGTCCTATTTTGCTTTCTGTCTGAAAGCAAAAGCTTTCAGACTAAACATAACATATCAGTGAGGCCTCTACCTTTAAAGAGTTGTACTTCATAGCTTTCCCTGTTTAATAAAGATAATGTGTATCTTGTTCAAAATCTACTGGGTAGACTTGCCAGCACAATAAAAGAATAGGATCATAAATTACATCCTAAAAGCTTAGCCTTGTCAATTCAGTTTTTGGTAAAATTTATCCAAGTCATACCTCTTACAGAATCAAGCATGCATTAAAAAATACATGCTAAAACAGCCCATGGAATAAGCAGAAAAGTGCATTAAAATTAAGGAACTTCAAAAACACAATTTTATATTTCCTCCTTCAGTCCAATATCTAGCAATTCTGTCTTTTGATATCAGTGATGTTTAATAAATGTTTGCTGAACAATAAAATAACAGCAATGATAATGATAATAGCTAAGACTTACTGAGCATTTAGCTTGTATTAGGCACTGCTAAATATTTTATATTTAAGTCTGACAAAATTCTAAGAGTTAGATAGTATTTTTAATCCCTAAAGACACAGGAAAAGAAGTTAAGAGAATTACTAAGTGGCAACACTGAATTTAAACAAATGCTGTCTGATGCCAAAGCTCTTAACCCCTCAATTGTGAAACAATATTATGTATAGTTAACAATTAAGATTTAGAAATAGTTTACATAAGAATTTTGAAACAAACATTTAAATGCATCTCACTTACTTTAATACTATAATTAAGTACATATTACAATTGTGAAAAATATTTTACCTTAGAAGAGCACTTGACTTTAATACCACTGAATTATTAGGTTTTGAGTTATTTTCTGAGATGTAATTAAAATATTTTATGTAATATAAGTTAATTTTATTCCTTTAACAAAAAAGCAAGCCAACACTTAAATTCAATTGTTTCTTCTACAACACTGATTTTTGAAATCAAAAGCCAAAGCTTTAAAGTCAGAAAAGGTCAAAAAATAATAAATCATGACAGGTTTTATTGAAACACTCCAATATTAAAGTAATATAACAATCTGTTTTTTGATATTAATTTTTTTAGATTTTTGAAATAATCCATTTAGTGGTGGATTAGATAATACTTGTACAAAGATCCAAACTATATATGGATTTATAGTATTTACTTGCCTGATGTCAATCATACTTAAAAAAAAATCCTGAAACAAGCATACCTTGGCAAAAAATACGGTGAGGTGAGTTTCACTGCCAACAATCCAAATAGGGAATTTTGGAGATTTCAAGTAAGAACCAACCTAGAACAAATGTAGCAAAATAAAACACATGAAAAATTTGTACTGCCCATTAAATATCTACCCAATTTCTGAAGTGTAACTGAAGTATCCAATTCATATGGAAACATAATGCTTTCTATGCACAGAGATCCGATAGTGAATGTATACATGAAATGTTTCTGAACTTACATCTCACCTTTATATTAGAGCAATAATAGACTCCATAAACATAACTAGTTTAGCCCTAAGAACTGTTCTCAAGTTTTCAGAAAGTTCCTAGATAGAATGACTACTTCCAGAATTTCAGCTTAGTACCTCAAACTCAAGGCCATAAACTTTATCAGGAAAATAATTCTAAAATAACAAATAAGATTTATGAATAACTAAAGGGAAAGAAGACATAAGAATATCATCACTTCCCTCAAAGAACAGGGTAATAGAATAATCTCTCTTAAGAAAAAAATACAACCTAAAACATGTTAAGATTATAAAAAAATCTTACCTTTTGATTCTTCATGATAGAAGGTCATTTAAGTACAAGGCTTTACAATATGAATAATTTCTTTAAAATGTATAAAAAGCCACACTTAACAGCTTTCCTTTAAGGTTATATGTACATATATAAACATAAAGTGATAATACATCATTTTGTGTGTATGCATACGACTAAGAAAAAGAAAGTTTAATACTTGATAAATAAAAATAGATTTATAAAATCGATCACGTACACACCAATCAATTCTACACTCTTATGAGGACAGAAACCTCAACTTAAAAAATAACTAATCTTACCAATCAAATTTGCTGAATTTTCTTTTCTCACACACTGCCTATAATTGGGAAATTCCAAGTACCTACTTGTAGCAATTGGGGCCAGTTATTCTTTCCTAATCAGCCAGCATCCCCTCCTTCAATCACCATCTGTGGAATCCTTATCACTATGAGGGAAGTCACAGGCACTCTTTTGTATTCATGGATAGAAAAATTAGTAAGTTTATTCTATGGTAAGAGTGATGAGTTAGATGTGCTAACTAACATGTCAATGTGGAACCAATAAGATAGGAATAACAGTTTGGGAAGCACAGCAAAACAAAGAAACAGGAAAAGCTCTGATCAGTTTTAGCTTCAAATGGGATTTTAGCAGTCAGCAGCAGAAATGCTTCAATTTATATATAGGAACCTGAGACGTGCACAGGAGAGGAGCCTGGTCTGAACTGAAGCAACTACCTACTATCCAGTGAGAATTAGAACTTAGGTTTTCTGACTCCAACTCTAGTGGATTTCCATTATGTTCCTTGGGGAACAGTTTGGATACTATTTAGTTTCTTTATTACAAAAAGTGTGTATGTGTGTGTGTTCAAAGTAAAGCAGAAATAAAAAAAATCAAGAAGTTAAGATTTTACACTCTATGACCAAATGCTAAATGAATACTGAACTCATGAAGTGTCTTATAGTAATAAAAATAATAGAGTACACAAATATTGTAGTCACATCAAAAAACAGTTGGACAGTTCTTCAAAAGTTAAACACAGAATTACCATATAACCGAGCAATTTTACTGAGTATCCAACTAAAAAGTGAAACCATACGCTTAATAAAACACATACATGAATATTCATGGTAGCATTATTCATAACAGCTAAAAAGTGGAAGCAATCTAAACATATACCAATCGATAAATGAAAAATAAAAACTGGTATATCATATAGCAGAATATTATTTGAACACAAAAAGGAATTTAGTACTAATATATGTTAAAACATGGAGGAATACTGAAAACTATTACTAAATAAAAGCTAGACACAAAAAAAACTATTATATGATTTTATTTATATGAAATATCTAGGAGAGGCAAAATCATAGAAAGAAAGTAGAATGGAGGTTGCCAGGGGCTGGGGAGGAGGAAGAAATGATTGCTAAAGGTAAGAGCTCCTTTTGGGGTAAGGAAAACATTCTGGAATTAGACAGGGTGATGGCTGTATAGTAATGAATAAATACTAAAATTCACTTAACTGAATAGTTTAAAATGGTAAGTTTTATGAAATATGAGTTATGGCTGTTTTTTAAAAGTGCGCAGTCAAAAGCACTCAGAGCCACATTTTTCTTTGTTAGGCTGTGCATGTGTTTGGCAGGGGGAGGAGTGGTTGTTAGAGAAATATTACCTCATTTGTATTATTGAATATATATGGTCAAAATGATGCAAAATGTTAACTTCATTTTTAAGAAGCAATCTGCTACACTATCAAAGAATGGGGAAATGTTCAGATTTACAATGTTATCACAAACACAATTATTTCCTCTATATTATTTCTCTAGCCATCTGGTGATAAAAAGTACAAATACACAGATTTTGAGAATTTACATGCAGACAAACACACCATGGTGTAACATAATACTTTTTTTTAAAAGTGCTGACTTAGTTTTGAGACCTTGGAAGTTAGTCAGTTTTCTTTAAAAGGACAGCTGATTAAATTCTTATCTCAACCACTTCCCTTTGGGCTTCTCACCAGGATCATCCTAATTGCTGTGATATCAGGAACCAGACAATTTAGGACTACCTTGTGCCTCAGAACCCACTGAGATTATTCAAATTAGAAATCCACTGGGATCCTAGAAAACCTAGTTAATCCTATCCCACTTGCATTAATAAGCTGCTCCTACACCTTCAGCTTGCTGTTATCCTGTTCCCAGATGCAACCCCATGAGCCCCTGCCTGGCAGCTGTCTCTACCTAGCTACTTCAGTGTATGGTGTTGGACCAGTAAAAGAATCTTTAAGAGTTTATATTCCTTTAATGAAGACAACAGAAAAACAAATTTAAGATTAAAATAAGTAAATAGAAAGGCCATTATAGAGTAGTTATTTCTATGAAATAATGTGGAAAAAAAAGTAAAGCAAGGAAGAAAGAATGGCAAGGAAAGAGTCAGACACAATCTGAAGTACAACTGGAGTGGGAGTCATTTAAAGAGCTGGAGTACTGCAGAGAGCAAGTACAAAAACCTATTGGGCAGGTCAGGAAAGGGCTGGGCATGCTTGGGAACATGATGGGACAGCAACAGAGAGGGAAATGCAACTGAAAAGACAGGATCCAGATCATCAGAACCTTACAGGCTACATGATATTTGACTGAAAATAAAGGAACTGCTATTGTTTAACCAAATGATGGCTACTAATGAAAGAGGGTGGCATGAATCCAGCATGAATCCTATTATCTTAGCCATATTACCCCTGTGTAAGTGTTGTCATAAAAGAGGAATGAATGTTGTTTGGCAAACAACAATAACAGTAACACACACATAGAGAAAGAGTGAGAACCAGATATATATATATATATATATATATATGCTACATATATATATATAGTAACCAGTTATTGTTACTATAAATAATCACCACTACCAGAACCACTACTATGGAACCACTATTTTAAAATGGAACAACAAAATTAGATCTACTTCTTCCTTTCTCTGAGATTATGTCCTTAAGTGCAAACAATGATTTAAATGCCATTTAAAACTATTTGGAATATTCAATGGATATTTCAGATAGTGTAGGAAGACAAATAAGTAGCAGTAAATTAGGGTTTCATGGCAGTTCCTAATTCTGGCACATGTGCTAAAGAGTTTAATGTGAGATGCTGGGAATTTTTTTTACAGTGAAATCATTTTTCAGATGGAAAAAATGAAAGAATTTTAGGCATTTAGAAAATGCTTTTTCTTTGCCTGACAAAGCATTTTCTGTTATTTTGGTAAAGTATAGTCTTTGTTAATGAAGGTACACTGCTTGCTTTTTCTCTAGTTTACCAAATAATATATTTATATTCAATACTTGGTATCTCCCTTTTTATAGACTATCTTGTTCTGGGTTTTGTACCCTAGTCACCTCATGTAAAAGTCAAAATGGTCAGTCGATTTGGGATGAGTGATCAGAAAGGAAGTGAAGAGGAGGGTATGTTATAATATTAGTAAAACGTGCCATCATCAAACAAAAACTATATCTGCAACAGTGGACATGTGAATAAAAAACATTTGAAATACCCTAAAAATCAATTTACCTTACAGTATCTTAAAGCTTCCATTAATGTTAAGAATCCTACTGCTGCTTGTTCATGTATACCAAGAAGTTCTGCAAAAAATAAAACAAAATAAACATTGTATTAGTTATAGAAATCTGAAAAGTACTTATTTGTATACATATGTGTGCATATATATTTACACCATACCAAAATTTTTACTTTTACTCATAAACTTATACTTAAACACTTAGCACATATTTAAATAAGAGAACACATCAAATCATCATATTACTACTCATTATAAAATGCCATTAGATCAGCTTTGTGATGGGTAAATGTAATATTTACTTCTGATGTAAATATATGTATAAAGCTTTATATTCAATGTTAACTATTTAATGAGAGCATTTTTCCCTGAAATCCAAAGAGTTATTGGCAAAAATAAGAGACTTATACCCATGCAAAAGGGCTAACCTGAATTGATTTAATTCTGAAAAACAAACGGATGTGCTAATCATAATTAGTAAAATCATAACTAGTAGCAGTGACCCCACTGGCACAGTACTTAAAACATGAACATTTCATGCTATTCCTCTCTCCTGTAAATGAACACAGTCAGTGTGCTTAAGACTGGGAAAATGATGATGAACAGGGAACAATCTCTGTCTTATAATGGCTAAGAATTTATGGACAAGAAGTGAAAATGTGTGTGCACTCTGTATACACACACACAGCGGTAGGACAGCATCCGCTTACAGTATTCGGGAAATTTTACACATGTGATAAAATGTGAATTGAATGCTGAAGCATATGTAGGAGACTTCCAGGTCAAACAAAGGAGAAGAAAATTTAAAGCAGAGGAAACAGCAAGGAGGTATGAAAATCAGTGCATTTAAGGAGTGAAATTTTTGTCACAGCTTCCTTTTTTTCTCCCCTGGGATGAAGTCTCACAGTGTTGCCCAGGCTGGACTTGGACTCCAGCGCTCAAGCAAAGGATCTTCACACTGCAACCTCCCAAAGCACCAGGCCGACAGGCATGCAACCTGTGTACCTGTTTCCTCAAAGTTTTCTTAAACACATCAAACTTGGAAAAACTCAAAGTGACTAAAAAAGAATTAAACAGTACGGTTTGTAGTTGTGTGAAGAAAGAACATAATTTTGCTTTTACACAAGCTGGGACTAAATGATAAACAACTGAAAGTAAGGCTTAGAACACAGGACAGACAAGCCCGGGATGGATACGGACTTAGGAATCATCAGCATAGTGTTAAAGTCATGGAGATCAACAAGACAGAACAAAGCAGGGGAATGAAGAGGTAAGAGATTATTCCACAGAGATGTAACTGATGAGATAAAGTCTTTTCACAGACTATAGCCTTTAGCTAATGTATATTAGGTAGAAGTATAGTAATATATTTCTGCCCATAAATATACCTAAAAATCATTTTTCCTGGTTAAAATTATATTCACTAAGTATGTAAATTTGCATCCCTTTTACCACCTGGTCATGTCTTATTCATTTTTATATTATAATAGTACACTTTCTTACCAACTAATGTAATAAGAATATAGTAAGTTTGTAGTAAATATTTTACTATGTTTCTTAAATACAACATCAAGGTGACATAAGCCAAGACCTGGTAGTTTAATGTACTGGATTTGTAAATTCACAATTAATAAAAGTAGCTGGGTCAGTGGCTCTTGACTGTAATCTCTCCTTCTCTGTATGCAAAGATTGAAGGATCACAGTTCCAGGACAGACCAGGTGAAAAAGTTAGTAAGATCTTATCTCAAAGGACAAGCTGGGTATGGTGGTACACACATGTAATTCTAGCTACACAGGAGGCATAGATAGGAGGACTGTGATCCAAGGCTGGCCTGGGCAAAAAGTGTGAGAACCCATCTCAGGTATGCAGAAATACAGTTTGTATTTTGTCACTAGCTTCTTCTAGGCACAGATGAGCTAGAACAATGGTTCTTATGTTGTGGCTTAGGACTCTGGGTACACAAGTCCCTTTTAGACACTAAGTGAGATGATGTCACTTTTCATAACATGCCAACTGCCTATTTTAGTCTTACTTTCTCATGAGTGTGAAGCTAAATGATATGTTAAACCACAGCAGAATGATTTCATAAACAGATATGAAAATCCAGTGGTCTATTAAGAAGCTAGAGATTAAAGTGATTTGTGAAATTTAAAGCACTGCCACTCTCAATTTTGTTTTGGAAAACAGGTATTTTTTACTATCCTAAAATGCTATTTACATTTACAGGTAATAGGCATATTATTTTTTAATAAATTAATACATATTTAAAATTCTCTCAGGTATAATTTCTAATATAAAAAATATATAGGTATTGGCTTTTAGTTCATAAATAAAATCTCTATGAAATCAATAATTTTTAAGAATATAAACAGCAGAAGACCAAAATATTTGAGAATCTTTGGGATTTCCTCATTTAAAAAAAAAGGGGGGGGGAGTTGTAAAGGAAGAGCCGAAATAGGTATTAACGGACACTGATACCACGTTATCTTGCAAACTTTCCTCTCTCTTTTCCTGAAATGCAAGCAGTTAAGTTTTCATGTTTAAAGAAAACATAGTTGAGAAACTTTCACAACTTAATTTCTACAATCAATTATCGCCATCTAGTGTTACGATTAGACACTACATTATCTATTCCCTTGGATTTAAACAAATGTCTGGAATAGTATATTTATATCATGTTACTAAATACAGCAAAGTAGCTTTAAACAAATTTTGAGTGATGAATTATTTGGATGTGGTCAGTAATCACATCGTAGGCATCTAGTTTGGATGGGACTAGTTTAAAACTATACTGTATCTCTTTACATAGAATATATACTTATAATGATCTTTGGGTAAAGTTCATTAAGAATATTTTTATGTCAACCTGTAATACAGTGGGGATATTATATTCTTATACATTATAATTTATGGAATATATTTTATGAGATGTTCTTAAAAAGTCCAAATAAGTCTATTTTAGTCTTCACTTGCAGAAAATTCTGATAATTTGTGATTATATATTTGTATTTTCTTTGCTAACATTAATTTATGAGCTTATAAAAGAGAGGAATAAAAAAACATGAAGCCTCATCCAATTTCTGATTGAATTTTCAGCACTGTTACATATTAGAGTATAACTAGACAGCACCAGAGAACTAAGACTATTCTTTGGCCTAACAATCTTACCCATTATAAACCCATTTTTATCCTTTATTTCTACTTGGTAAATAAAAGTTGTATGTGTTTATGTATCTACATCTTAAAATATGTATACATTGTGGAATGGCTCCAACTAATTAGCATGTATTACCTCACATACCTATTTTTGGGGATGAGAACCTTAAAATCTACTCTTGTTAATTTTCAAGCATAGAATATGATTCATTATAGTCACATTGTTACACAGTAAAACTCTTACATATTCCTTTTAACTGAAATTTTACATTCTTTGACCAATATCTATTCAACTTCACCCCATCTAACCACCATTATGAGCATATTTTAGAATTTTCTGTCTAGCTTAGTTTTCTCAGCTTAGCATTAAGATTAATCATGATCAGTCCCCATCAATGAGACTGTGTATTTATCTGTGCAGAGTTTCATACCCTGAGTACTTTCCATTGCTGTCTCCTCCATTACTAGTTAACACTTCTCACTACTGTCAGAGTGTCTACAGGAGACTCTCTTGACCTTTCAAATTTGATGCTGTCTTGGAAACTAGAAAACTATCCTATATTTATTTAATAAGCGCAAACTGAGTGTCAAGTGTTGAAAAGAACAATGCTAAGCACAGAGCAGGAATATAAAGATATTCTAGGAACACACTGATAATTAGATTCTCTTCTCAAGAACACTTTAGCAATGGACAGTGGGATAGGTAGGAGTGGAAGTGTCAGGAAAACAAAATGCTCAGAGGTAGGACTGCTTTCAGCTTTGGGAATCAGAAGCTTTCCTTGGGAGAGATGGAGTAAAAAGCAAGTCATGAAGGACTAGACAGTAATATGTGGGAGGGATATCAGGCACAGGAACAAGCATGAACAAAGTTAAGAAAGCAAGTAGTGTTATTTTGCTTGAGCATCAGTTCATGATGGTTGGAAAAATAAGCTGGACAAGATTATATAGGGTGCTGAGAAAATAAACAACCTATAGTTAAAAGTGAAAAAATACTGATAGGCTGGTGGCATGGCTCAAGTAAGCACAAAACCCTGAGTTTGCTCCCCAGTAACCCCCACCAAAAAAAAAAACCAAAAAAACAGAAAAGAAAAAATTGACCTTTTTTTAAAACTGTATTAGAACAGCTAAAAGAAAAAGCAGTAAGATTTTGAAAAGCCTTAAGTATGTGACTCAGAGGTAAAGTGCCTGCAATTTTAGCCGTGAAATCAGTATGGTACTGTGATGCACTGGAAGAAAGATCTAATGGTGGTTCTTTCCCCAAAAAATGACTTATAGTTTAAATTTGGTGCTTGTAAGAGTTAAAAAATAGCAATGCTTCAATTAAAATTATAAAAGAGAAAAGCAAGGAGCCACTCTAATGCGGCATACAAACTGATGGACTGTTTTTATATTTTGTCTTATGTATCTGCTCAATGCCTTCAATGACTCTTATCCTAATACTTAACAGCTAAAGTTTAAGTTTCTTAGCATTCATGAGTCTCTGTGTTCTCACCCAACCGTATGCTGATAATCTTTCCTTTTACTAGTCTCTATCACAAATTCAATGCTCTAATCCACTGGCACTCAAATCTGCCTGCACATTAAAGTCATCTAAGAGAAATTTAAAATTATAAACCCATGTCCTACCACCTAGCGATTCTAACTTAACTGTTCTCAGTTGGGGGTCAGAATATTCACATATTTTAAGTTCCCCAAGTGATAATGTCTAGTCAAAATTGAGAACCACTGCTCTATTCTGGTTACTTTGCCTCTCTGTTAATAAACATAACCTGTATTTTATCCCAAATGCCTTCCTGCTTATTCCATCTGGCCCCATTAAAATATTAACTCCCACTTAAAACCTCTGTTTACCCCAACATAAGCATAGTAGGAAAAGTTTCCTCCTTCCTCTGAATGTCCGTGGAACTTTATTTCAACATGTCTCATTTGACTTTGCATCAAAATTATTTGTGTACATGTTCATTTCTCTAAACTAGCTGTCTAAGCATTTGAAGAAAAACATTTCTATGAGCCCATGTATGCATTTTAGAAACCTGATCTTAATTTTTACAACCCTTTGAGAAAGGTATTACTTCCATATTTTATAAAGAAACTGAAGCCAAGAAAAGTGACTTGCCTATGTATTTTAAAACTAGTACTCCTTATGATGTTATGACCTTACATAACTTCTACCATGTTGTCAGAGCAAGAAATAAATTCAATAAATGCTGAATGAATGTATGTACTTTTATTTTAAGTTTAGTTAACTGAAAACAGATTCATATTCAAATTCAAGTCAACATTCCTAACATCTGAGGGAAAATGCAAGAATATGCCCTGCCTATTTTCTTTTTTCCATGATAACTATTTCAAAGCTACTGCTTCGTATTGATCTTTATAATTTAAAAATATCCATACCAAAATGACAGCCTTGAGAGGCAATATTTCAAGAAATAGAAAAGGATGAATTTGCATATACAAGAACCCAAATTTAGATAATTAACAAACATGCTCTTAAACTATTTTGCATATATTTCCAAATATAGGCAGTGAAGTTGGTCAACTTTCTGGAACAGTAAAATGAAGAGTTGGATCATACAGCAGTGCTTTTTTTTAAATTTTGGAGTTCCATAATCTTTACTGATATTTTTCTTAGTGTATCCTTTCTGGTAATAAGTTATACGTATTTCTAAAATTTGAGGAAAATTCAAATTTAAAATTAAAAATCATCTAAATGGGAGCAAAAAGTACTAACTTATTTTCTCAATCACAATGTTTGCTCTGTTTGGGATCAGTTTTATCTGATTATTAATTATATACATATGCATGTGAATAAATTTGCCTATGAACTATAAGAACTAAGGAGCAATTACACACCTCAGTAAAAGGTATACTGCAGTCACTCAATCTAAGTTGAATGAGCAAATAAACTAGTCTGACCCAGAGATAAAATTTGGGGAATTTTATTCACTGTTATATATCAGTTCTCCTTAAGTGAATGAACTGGTCAAAATGTGTTTCACTTTGATATCCCTAATGATGTAAGAAGCTATAGAAAATAATACAGTAAGTGCCGCTTATTTACAGATTTATTATAAGCAGTTTGGACTAAGCACAGTCAAAAAAAATTTTTTAAGAAATTTCAATAAAACATTTTTACGTCCCCATGCACAGCTCAGTTGAGGCAGAGAAATGCTCAGTCAGTCCACATTGTCAGTTACATTTAAGTCTTTATGTGATCTGCTGTGTTTCCTTGCCTCCCAAAAGCAAATGGTGCCTTAAAAGCAAGGTAAAACTGAATAAAAAGTGATAAAGTGAAAATGGTATATTTGATGAAAGGTACATATCTTTAGTGGAAGTTGGGTGGCATTATGGGAAAATGAATCAAGCATCTGAAGTACAGCACTGAACTCTAAGCATCCTGAGCATTCATATTTTTTCCTCAATGGTGATCTCCTTGGATCCATATACCCATGGATACCAAGGGTCTATTGTAACTGAAACCAGAAACAGAAGTAGTGATGGAAGTGTAAGTTTAAAAGTCTAAGATGACATTAAATTTGTCCAGCATTTTAAAGGGAATTATATATATTAAAAATAACATAGGAAAACCTGTTAGATTCTCAAAGCAAATACTTCAAATTATAATACTTTATAATTTTCCTCAATTTTAAGCAATGAATGCAATACTGCCTCTGGGCAAATATGTGCTACATTTACATATATTAAGAGATTTATTACTTTTTCTAAAGAAGTTCACCCTATAGTCAAAATATCATACTAGAGAAAATGAAAAGCTTAAGGAATTATGTAACTTGACTAAAGTCAGACATTTAGGATTAGAACTCAAGATTGCCTGGCTCTGAAATCTATACTCTTAATGTATGGTATCTTGGAAACTGTAAAGGATTCTTCTATTAGAAAGTGCTTACCTTATACTCTAAGGAATGCAGAGTCATTAAATAGATGAATATCAATTATATTCCACTGAAATATTCATTACAAAGGAGATGCACACACAAAGACTATACTTACGCATTCCTGAGCATTCTCTATCACCATCCCATACATTAGAAACAGCATGTCCCGTCAGTAGGAGGTTAATTAAACTCTGGCTATAAATAAAAATTAAAAAGCAATTAAAAATGAGTAACACTAGTCTTTGAAATAATTACTATGGTAAGGGCTAAAATGACTTTTTACATAAATGATGTTAAGGGGGGCTGCAGGGGTGGTTCAAGTGGTAGAATGGTTGCCTAGCAAGGGCAATACTTTGAGTTCAACCCCAGTACTGGGAGAGAAAAAAGGGGGGAGGGGGGTAGAATGGAAAGGAGGGAGGGAGAGAACAATCATGTTAAGATAAAGTTAGGGGAAGGTTTACATTTTTTCATTTCCTATATCTAGCCCTGATAAATGGTTCACAATGTAGTGATACATTGTTGTGTATCACTACAGTGCTAACTATTATTCAACATAATCATACAAATTTAACTCCAAGATATCATAAAATAGATGAAAACAATGATATTTAGACTGATAATCTACTCAATATTTACAATCTTTAAAAATGCATAAAAATTTTTAACAATATAGCCTTTGATGGAAGATATATAAATTTTAACCACTGAGGCAGAAAGGTTTAAAAATAGGATTTGTGGAAGAGTGGATTGACTATCACTCTTTTTGTTGATTTTGATAAAAATAAGCTATAAAAAACTTGAGGGAGAAAATGAGGATTTTTTTTCCCTCCCAAATAAGAACATTACAAATAAGTCCATACTGATTTCTAAACCAAAATGAGATTTCATCATTAAAATTTTTTCACGATGAAACAAAATGGAATTTATTAAAATACCTTCAACAGTCATCTTAAAGCAAAATACTTGCCACAATAAATGCAATGTGTATATAAACCTAAACTGGAAGTTAGCATGGAATACATTAAGCAAGCAATGCGTAAAGTACAAGACTGCTCAAACCCATAAACTCTATACTGTCAGCAAAATTACTTGATTCAGTCATCTTTTATCATTGTCAGTTCCTAAAAGCTAAAGCTTTTATAAGGAAACAGATTTTAATTCAGTACCTGCCATGTCCATACACAGGATCTATCAAAGGTTCACTTACATCTTCAATTTCATTTTTTATGTTTTCAATGCCCTAAAGAAACCAAGAATTCATTGACTTAATTTAATAACTGAAGTACAAATTATGAACAATTTACTATAAATTAATAAAATACAATTCCTTAAGTAACTTTTTTTCTAAAGAATTACCCAGACTTGAAGAGAACAATTGAGATACCTATAAGTAGTTCCTCCAAGAATATCTCTTATTTTCTTTTGTGGGCTCTATATAAAGGACATTAATGGACTTCTGGCTTATAAATTTAATGTTGATAAAGGAATAGGGAGAGATGAAACTTAACTTTGAAGAGAAAGGAGAAAATTATTTAACACAAATGGCAGTATTCATTTAACTTTAGGCTAACTTAAATTAAAATCTAATATACCTGTTAAGGCAACTGATTTTATTTTAGGCCATTTAAAAAACATATTAAGACTAAATGAGAGCTTTAACAGAGATATATAAATTTTTTATACATAAAAGGTATAACTGGTAAATAAGAAAATGAAAAGCTTAGTTCTTTCTCCCAAATGTTAGAAAATCAAACGTATAATGAAAAAAAAAATGTAAATTCAGAGGGTAAGAAGTTTCTTATGTTCTTGAAAACCAGTTTCCTGACACTTTTTAATCATCTAAAAAGGCACCCAAATTCCAAAATTTCTAGATACCTCATCAACTCCAAAATGACATAAAATGACATTCATTGAGCTATTTGCCTAATTTTAATGACTGCCACCACTTTATAGGCCATTTATAAGGATTAAACAGATGATTAATCAATAATCAAAAAACTTGATTGCCTAAGTATTATAGGGGGAAATAAAGAGGTATGCAAAGTTTTCTTGCTATCCTTCTGAACAATGCTAAGCAGGATACAGTGAAGTCAAAATGAGTGACAGGGACAAGTGACAATCACTGGGGGTGAAGGGATTATTATTTCAAAGAGAAGCAAGAGGAAGAACTAGGAGCATGATGATTTATTGGCTGAAAACAAGAGACAGAGGAGGTATCAAATGTTTGGGGGATGAAAACCTAGGAGAATGAAAAACAGTTAAGAAGCACTCATAAGGAAACAGTCATCTTACATATCACCACCAATTATATTCTCAACACCAACCCAATTGCTTTTGGTCCTCTTATTTGTGTGTAATAAGTCAAATAAATATTTGGCTGATTTCTCTTTATATTTCTAAACATGCTCCCTCGTTTCTTTTCCATTGTATGTTCACTGTCCTGGTTTAGGCTTTGCCTATTGCAGTGCCCATGTTTCTAGTTTTCTTCACTCTTAGACTTATATTCTACACATCAAGTATCTTCATTATGAATTCTCATTACAATTTAAGGTATCGTGTATCAACAAGATCTTGTCACTCCCTTATTCAAAATGTTGTTGTATGTTAATTTTGAATAGATGAAACCTAGTGTGTTTTGTACACTCTGGAAGGACCTTCATATTCCCAGGCTTCTTTCTATAGGTGTCCAACCTCATCTTTCACAACTGTCCTTCTGGTATATTATGCTGCAGTAGTGCCTAACTTAGCTCCCCAAACCTATGCTGTACTCCCAAATCCTTCAGACCTTTAAACTTGCTGATCCCACTGCTTGGGAAATTTTACTGCAACTTTCTCATTTACAGATATTTTATTTATCTACAAAGTCCCTACATCCACCAAGTGAGCCAGTAAACATCTGTTGAATGAAAAAGGTGTGATTTCAGACATGGTATATCTGGTAAAATATCCAACTGAGATTAACAAGCTACTAGAAATATGAGACTGTCATTTGGGGAAAAAGGAAGGACTGGAAGTGTACATGTTGGAAGTAGACACAAAAAGGCATGCTGAGAGAATGAACTATCCAATTAAAGAAGCTGCACACAGGATTCAAGAAATGAAATTGCTGGAATACTAAAATTCAGAAAGGAAGAATAAAGAACAGGAGATAACATGTTAAGAAGCAAATGAACCAACTGAAGAAATAATGACAACAAATGAATTGTAAGATGTTGTAAGAAGAAAACTAGCACAATAATTTATGAAACAAATCAAGAAAAGGAGTACAAGTAAGAAAGACTTTTCAGAAGGGGTTCAGGGGTCAAGTGCCAGACATTGCTAAACCAAAGAAAATTAAATTCAAAAGAACTGGCAGGATTTCATAGTTAAAATGTTATTGATAAACCCCGTAGTCCAGAAAATCAGAGGTGAAATTACTTTTGAAAGTGGTTAAGTAATAAGTAAATGGAAAGGAAATGGAGTTAATTCCTTGCTATCAGCACAAGAAACTTTTATTCTGAGATTTAGAAACAGCAGCAGGAATAAGATTATCCATCCCAGCAGGAAAACAGTACTAAACTAATAAAGGGCAGAAGAAGCATCTTCTTACACAAACCTTTGTCAGTAATACAGAATACAGAAAAAGCAATACTCCAAATTTGTTTCCCCACATTGAATACTGGTCCAAGACAGCATCTTTTAATTCTGATAAACTTCTAAATGATCTTTTTCTGGGGGAAAAAAGAATTAAGTATTAGTATCATGATGAGATTTAGTACATTTATAAATGGGAAAAAACTTTAAATTGTCTTATACATTAGAACATACAAAGAGGGACTTCTGTTGAGTGTCTCAAATTTTTAAATATAAACTTAGTCATTAAAAGCAAAAGCTATTGCTGACAACTTCCACTCTCTATATCATCAAGACAGACCAACTACTTGAAAGGAAATCTCTTATCTCTTAGGTGCAACAAATTCTTTAACAATATTGAAGAAGTTATTTTAATAGAGAATAGAGAGGACCTCTTCAGAGATATTTACTAACCAAGAAAACTTTATCTTCTAAAGTGTGAAAGCTATTTAACAAATACCTGAATGCTAAAGCTATGGTATAAATTTGTGACTTTGTTTAAAAGATATTTATGTTAAATTTAAAAACAAATGCCAACTATAAATCTATCAACATAGCCATCCTTGCCTTGTACTTTGTAATAAAAATGTAAATGCTCTAATGAAAATATGGGTACTTTTAACAAAAATTACAGAAAGAACATTTTGGAAAACAAGTAAGTCTAGTGTTTGTCTCACTAGAAATCTATATTCATTCAGGACAGAAAAACAGTAAGCTAAAGTGATTTTTTTATTATTAATAATGAAAAGGCTTTTAATATTTTACATGTCCTTGGATAGTTAATTTAGGATTTGGGATAATTAAATATGTGTACACAATTTTTTAAATTTGAAAACAAATTAATTCTCAAGCAAAGGATTTAAAATTATGTTTAAGTATCATAGTACTACATAAATCTAAGAACTTTACCACAGTGTGATCAGACTTAAAAATGGCAATGTGTCACAAGGTAAGTATTTTAAATGTTCCAATGTTACTTACTGAATTAATGCATGAAATCGCTCAAAGCCAAGCTCTTCGACAGCCAAGGCAGCTATACATAAAAGACACTTTTCAGCACTACACATGGCAAATAAATGACACAAGATACACACAGCAGGCTGTAAATACTTTAAAGCAACAAAAATTTCCCTATTTCTTTACTCCCTTAAAATTCTGTTTATTTTAAACTCTATTATAACATGAACTTATATTTCAACATCTTAGTTACTACAGTTATAACTAAAATGGTTATAATACTGAGAATGTAGAGGGGCTATGAAATAAAACATTTCTTTTCAGTTCAGTTATGCTAGGATAGTTTACAAAAGAGGAGAAATTATTGACTACCAGTGCCTCACACACTGGCATGTGGCCTGCACTTTTAAATAGTCTTTTATTTTATGGGTCCAAGCAAACTCATCATAGCTAATCTTACTTCTTAACATAAAATCTTGGGGTGTAATTCTTCCTTGTTAGGTAAATGGATATAAAAAGGCATAGCACTGAGGCTACACAGGTTCAATGACAACTTTAAGTTTGTTTCCTGGTTTATTTTTATAACTGTTGAGAAGTTTTCAGTAACTTAGATTATGATATTAACATAGTACAAGTGTAAATCTTAAAAGATCGAAGCAAATCAAAGAACATTTGAATCAAAGGCAATGCTTCCTGAGCACTTTACTAAGAGTCAGATCCTTTTACAATTGCTGTGCAAGTCTGATTGCACTTAATCGTCAAAACAACACTCCTATCTCCATTTTACAGGAGAGGGATCTGAGCACAGAGAAGAGAACACAACCGTAAATACCAGCACTGAGACTTAAGGTCAGTCCTGGCTCTCAGAAGATGAAGTCTTTAAAAGTAACTGAATCAAAATGTTTACTTTATCACAATGAACAATTTCATTGTTCTTAATATGTTCAAATATAAATTCTCACTAGTGAATTAAGGAAATTGAATTCAAAAATTTTAAAATTTTATTTACAATTGTAAATGTCACATTATGCTAGCTTTTGAAGTCTAGTTATCACTTTCAAATGCTTCAAGTTACTTTGTGAAATCTTTAAAAATTAATTAATTTAAGTAATGTTTAGGTGCATGTGGGAAACAAACTAAACTTGAACCCGAGTATTGACTACTGCAAACAACTGTGCATTACCAACCAGCCGAAAATATGCACACGATATCAGCCAATGAGATTAATGTTTGTACAAAATGTAGTATTTATGAAAGGGGAAAACACTTCACATTCAAGACTTCTGGATAAAACAAAAATACTATCTAACCTTTTCTAAACTATACTGTTTTGCAATGCTGATTATCCCAACCATTTTCCTAGGTAAACTATAAAAATAGAGAGTAATTTAGAGAAAAGAGGCAAGCAAAAGAAAAAGCTTAGCAGCCAGGGATGATGGAAAATAAAACACAAGAAAAAGAACATAGTTGGGAATAAGGCAAAGAACAGGTAAAACAGATTGTTACATGAAATAAAATTTTAGTGTAAGTTCAGTTCATCTGTCAATATCTAAGATAAATTCTCAAGTTTTCAGTTAACAAAATGTTTAAATATCTATAAAATTAACAACAGATTTCAAATATGGTTTTAAATCATGTCAACTTTTAAATGAAGCACAAAATAAAGTGGACAATTACTACCCCATTTTTTTGGAGGGGAATGCAATATAATACGTCCATCTAAATTAGCTACTAAAGCAACAAACAATGCGTAATGAGGTCATTTAATGTTTAATTTAACCTATCACTACATGTACAGAATGTTCTACAGTAAGCACACAGAGTACTATTAGGATCCTAATGAAAAATGTTACATAAAAGGATCTTACTATTTTCTCATATACTTACATAAATATAACATATATATATATACATACACTGACTTTAAGCACATATTCTTTAAAGCATCCTTTAAATAGCTCAATGGTTCTCTCGAAAGTTCAATATTCTAAATGGAAGTATTAAACATGCTTATATTCAGCCTGTTATAATCTGTAAAGTATTTTGAAAACAATCTCAAATGACACGTTTTACGATCATTCTTGTAAGTATTTTCCACTTCTCCTTAAGTATCATTATCAACTCTAAAAATGTTAAATTCTTTTTGAAAGGCAATGTTCAAAAGGCTTGAAAAGAAACATGATTCAACTGTTTAAATTTTAAAACTTATTCCTTGCCAAGGTACTATTAAAATTTGCCAGGCTCAAGGCATTTTATCTGCAGAATATGAAAAAGAAGACAAGGACATCACAGGGACTTTGCAGTCCAGGGCGGCAACAGCGTCTTATAGATAATCCTATATGGAGAGCAAGATACGTATCACAAGCAATTGAAATTTACTTTCTAAAAGTCAGGTATCTAATTTTTAAAAAATAATTTCCATAGAGATGATAGTTACAGGTAGAGTAAGACACTTATTTTAAAGCACTTGGGACAACCAATTATCAAAAATCACCTACGGGCAAGATTATTCCTCAGAAGCAAATCAGAAAAGCAACTCTTACTTGTTTCTATAGCACCAGAGGTCTCCATTTATTAGTTCACTCTTGGCAGTTTTTAGGTCAATAACAAAGAATTTTCAAAAGCTAGAGACCATAGAATGCATAATTTTTATGAATGAGATCAGCTGTTACTTAAATTATTTTAAAGAGAAAAATCTTCAATCAAGGTATGGAAAGATATAATTAAAACATAATCAACATTACCTTAAAATAATCCACACAACAATGTCCAAAAATTTCAGGAGAAAAAAACGTGTGCAATTAAAAAAAATGGCCCTATCTTTGCTCTAGAAAGCAACTAAAGATATTTAAGAAATTTAGTGATGTCAAAAGTCCCTTTTAGCGAGAGCACACAAGGGAGGGGTGAGGATAGGTAAGACACCTAAAAAACTAGCTAGCATTTGTTGCCCTTAACGCAGAGAAACTAAAGCAGATACCTTAAAAGCAACTGAGGCCAATAGGAAAAGGGGAACAGGTACTAGAGAAAAGGTTAGATCAAAAAGAATTAACCTAGAAGGTAACAACCATGCACAGGAAATCAATGTGAGTCAATGCCCTGTATAGCTATCCTTATCTCAACCAGCAAAAACCCTTGTTCCTTCCTATTATTGCTTATACTCTCTCTACAACAAAATTAGAAATAAGGGCAAAATAGTTTCTGCTGGGTTTTGGAGGGGGAGAGAGAGGGGGCGGAGTGGGTGGTAAGGGAGGGGGTGGGGGCAGGGGGAAGAAATGAACCAAGCCTTGTATGCACATATGAATAATAAAAAAAAAAAAAAAGTCCCTTTTATTTACAATAGTAAAGAAAAACATTAAGACATCTGAAACTATAGCATATAGATGCATGCTCTTTAGACTTTCAAAACAAGAGTTCTAAAGCTCAAGGGAGATTGTTATCAAGCAGAAGTTAGCTAGAACTTTATAAAGAGATCAATGTATTTCTTTTTTGCAAAAATGCTCTATCTTCTAGTAATTAAAATAAGTGAAAGAAATAGAAAATCATAAGGCTCATTAATTAAGCTGAGGCTAGAAAAAAGATGTTATAAAAATTTTAAATGTTTTCTCCAAAAATTTCAATAGTTTTCTTAAAACAAAAGTATAAGAAATTACTTCAGGAAATAAAATGTATCTTACAAGAATGTTCCACTTCGCAACTAGACTCTGCAGGACTCCCAGAAATACTAGCAGTTTCCTCAGTTGTCCTTCCTCTTAACCAGGAAACCAAGCAGTATGATCCAGAGTTGTCACAACAAGCACTTTCTAAAATATCACATAAGGTATGACAAAGGAGTTCCTTCTGCTCTTCCTCTAAAAATAACCAAAGTATAAGTCATAATGGTTTTCTCTGGAAAAAAAATCCTGTCATAAACAATGTTAAAGCTGTCTTGACTTAATGATAAACATAAGCATTTTTTAGAATGAGGAAAACCCATAACCAACAAACTGTAAAAAACACTTTGTGAAAACAAAAAGTGCCTTGTATTAAAATATCATCATTTTAAATACAGACACAGCTGGAAAAGAAATTGTGGGAAACGCAGAATGAAACACTGTGAAAAGAACACGTGACTCAGAATAATCTGATGCTAATCATTCCTCTCTTAAGCTGTCCACATGGCACTTAAGCCATGAGGTTTCTTCTACTGTAGAAGCAAGAACAATGTCAAAGCCCACTGAGACTTCTTCCCCATCTTCTGAATTCTAACATCTTTCACCATCCTCTCCCACAGGAAGGAGAGTAATACACATCGTCAGCACACACAAGAACGTAATCCATTACGTTCATTAGCAGAGGCCACGTTGGTTAAGTTGCACAATACAGGAGCTACTGATGCTCTATTGCAGTGATCTGAGCATTACAATTTTGATGAAAACAGCAGTTTTTTTTTTTTTGAAACTTAGCCATCCTTCCCTTTTTCAAGCAGTATCAATCTACAGAAGAAATGGTTATCCTTTTCTGAAACATTCAAATACAAAGAAGGTGTACACATTCTACACAACTGTATGATGCAGAAAGATTTTTACCTCTCCTGATGTCTAAAAGTCCTTCAAAGGCAGGAACTATGCCATTCACTTTATAATATCAGTCTTTATAGTTGTGACTTTGCTTTCCAAATTTTTATCAAAGTGAATGTTTTTGTACAAACATAAATTTCATTAAAAAGTTTGTTAGTAAAAAATATCTCTTCAATAGTTTCTTTACTAAAATTTTGCATTTCAGCAAAGTATGTTAATAAGAAATATTACCACCATAACTCTTATCATTAGTAGATTCTGCAGTCATGGTTTGGAATGGAAGCTGTTACATCCTTACATACAAAGCTGGCTTTGTAATATGGCCTACCTTTTTCCAGAAGTTATTGTGAGGTTCACATATTGTGTAAAATGAAGGAAAGATCTTTGTAAACTGTCAAGTGGAATGCAAATGTTTGTTATTACCAGGTAGCACCAAAGATCCCTGACTTCAACCTGCTGCAAATGCTATGACCACTTCATTTGCAATTTGATTCAGAATTCCTTGCAGTATTTGCATTGTGTAAGGCACTATGGTAAAAGATGCAGGAATACAAAGGTAATTCTGAGTTCTTGATCAAAGATAAGGAAGTCCCTCCCCCAAAACCCTTCATAACTATTCTTTATAGTAGTGTATCATCCAAAAGTTCTGGGAACTGTATGTACTAGCAAGAGGCAAAGGCTTTTCCTTTCATTAGTTACCCTATCTTATAGCTCTTAGTTATTATGAGAATTAATTTTGAATAAACTTTTTACAATCTGGACTCACTGTTCATGAAAGTTTTTGAAACAGTTGAAAAATAAACCTCAGGGGGGTAGAAAATCCCATGAATAGTTTATCTTTTTTTTTGTGTGGTGCTGGGGATCAAACCCAGGTGCTTGCTTATGCCAGGCAAGCACTCTATCACAGATCTGAATCTCCAGACCTTCCTTTGTTTGTTACCCAGACTGGCCTCAAGATCCTCCTGCTTCTGTGCTGGGATTATAGAAGTATACTACCATGCCTGGTACCCCATTTACTTTTAAGACAGAAAATCTTAATTAAACTATTGACAATGAATACTACATAGAAAATCTTTAGAGGATAGAAACGTTTTGAAAGTAAGCTTATCATACCTGAGCAATCCCGCCAAGATGACTTCTCAGAAGAAAACAGAAGCTTCTTCAAAAGAAATGCCTTTATACAATAAAGCAATAATTAGAATGCATTATAAACATACCTCTTGCCATTCTAAAATGGAAAAACACTAATTTCTACCTTTTTTCTGGTCTTTTGAAAAGTTTCATAAAAATTTCAAATGGTTTCCCTTCACATTCAATAACTATGTATTTATTTACTTGGAATATACTACTATAAACTTTATTCTAGATCCATAGTTATCCATCCCTAATACAAATTTTCCGCTAAGTAGAACTGACTCACATAATAGACAAATAACTAGAAATTATAGAAATTTATGGTTCCATTTATAAAGTGAAGGCCCTATACAACAGAACCAAGTTTATATTTCTCTTAGATTTTGAGAGTAAAAGAATCCTAAGTACAAAAGTGGTTTCTCTCTGTTAGTAGTAATCTGAGGATCAAGAATTCCATTATTAGAGTTATCATAAGGAGTTATCTCAAGGAGCTTCTAACTTCTTGGCTTAACTCAAAAAGCTGTGATTCAAAAGAGAAACAAATTAATTTCTAATCTTTCCCTTCAGTGAATCAACTGTGTCACATGGTTATTTGACAGAAAGCAATTAAATGCAGTATATTTCACATGAGTTGTTTTGTTTAAAATGCAGGTTCTTGGGCTCTACCTACTGAATGTCTAGAGCTCAAATCCAAGAAAAAGGGGTTATTTACTAAGACTCTTCCTCACATCTGTTTGATAGCATTAGAGTACACAATAAGAGAAATGCTTTTAGCCAGGAAGACCTGGGCTGAAATCTTGGTTCCATTACTTTACTAACTAGAGATAATAATAGTATAAACTTTAAAAGGTTGCAGTAAGGATTATATGAAAAAATTTATGTAATGCACTCAGCATAGTATCTGGTACCTAAAAACCAAGCAATTGAAATAATTTTAACAAAAAAACTAAGTAATATTCTATAGTATTTGCTTACGAATACTACAGCCTTTATGAATTACAATCAACAGCTTCTGATTTTTCCTCAGAATGACAACTAACATAAAATAGAATGCTATAGAATACAAAATTTTGGAAGAGAGGTAAGGACACCATTATTCCATCACTAATACAACCAATGTTAGCATACAGTATTTCTTTCTAGTCTTTTTCTTACACCTGTTTTTTTAAGTAAGAATCATGTGCCTCTTTTTCCACAGAAATTCGTAACTATAATCACTACATCAAAACTTGTCTATTAAGCTATCACAATTCACTTAACATTATTTCACATTTAAATTGTACTAGTGCACACTAGTTTATTAGCAATTTTTTTTACTACTATAAGTATATGAGCTTCTTCTTGAATACAACTTTTTTCATATGAAGGATTTTTCCTTAGGAAAGATTTGTAGAAGTACAATTATGCATCAGAGAATCTGTACTGTTAGGGTCCAATTATGCTGTAAAATTCCTTCCCAGAATCAAGTACAAATTTGTACTAGATAGCAGTATATGAGTGTGCCAGCATCACCCCTCCTGCACATGTACTGGCAATCAAAATTTTGTATTTAAATATTTTAAAAAGAAATAGGATTTACAGTTTTATTTTTACTCTCGTGGGAGTCTTGGAGTGAGTGCTTGATTTATTATTGTTGTTATTATTATTATTATTATTATTATTTGGAATAGCATCGTTCCATCTGTTACAACTGTAGTTAAGTCCATTCCACCATAGGGTCTTAAGTGTTTCTCTAACCAATGTGTACATTCTTTTTTACATAAGAAGGACAATATCTTCTTATTGCTGATAGTCACTGTGAATATTTTTCTGAGTTTAGAATAACCCCTTTTCTTACAGCAATGACAATACATTAGTTTTCATTTTCCTATGGTTAAACAGTACAAGATATATTTGGCATATGATAGCACATGATCTAAACTCATTTTTCCCCTCAAAATGTTAACTAATCTCAATGGCATTTATGAAACTTCATTTTATTTCATCATTGATCTTAGTTTATTATGGTATATGATAAACTCTAGGTAAATTTTTATATGTAAAATCACCTATGAATGAATTATCTATTTAAGGCATTATGCTTATTTTTCTAAACATATCATTTCTAAATTTTATACTATAAAAAGTTAATATCCAGACTAAGTTATCTCATTATTCTTAATGATTTAGTTTCAACATCTAAATGGAAATACTAATAAAATTATTTTATTGATTGAAAAGATTTTGTATCTCTTAAACTAAACTACTGTCCCAAAGATCCATAAGGACAGGTTCAAGAAGTTCAATTTTAAAATTACCCATCTTAAAAACACCACCTTACTCTGCTTACAAAAATAACTATAATTTTGAGATATACTGAATTTTAAAGTCCTGTCAACCTCTCATTTAATTACATTCATAGACTTTCAATAAAATCCCTAGGATACTATTACTGACCAAGAAAGGCTGTATTTATAAAGTCTAATTTATAAATGGACAGGTGAAAGAGCCTTCAAATTCAGGCAAGATTTTCACTGATGACCAAAATTTGCCTCAGTTACTCACTACAACTACAATTATTAATTTGTAGTTAAATTCCACTCTTTATATTCAGGCAAGATTCAGACAGGCATTCAAGTTTTTCTTAACTTTTATAATGTTACTAGTGCAAAAAGTTAACATATATGTTCCTTAAAGAAATAATGAGCTATAAAGAACATAGTTTGGAGCCAAGTATGAGCAACTCTTCCTTAGAGAAATACATTTTCACGTAATACTGTAAGTATGTGGGATCATGTTTGAGAGACAAACATGCTTCACAGCTTGTACTTCTGGAATTTATCCTTTATGCCCAGTGAACAACACATTAAATATATGTTTTCAAAACAGGGAGACTAAGATGTAAATAAATTATAGCTTCTTTTTAACAGTTCTGAAATTATACCACTGCTCTTAGATATCATAAGCCTAACAGTAAGTTGAAAAATTAACTTGTTAATTTTTAACAATGCAAGTTTATAGCAAATTAGTCTTTGAAATTCAAAAATATCAAGATTCAATATCAAATAAAGGCATTCAGAAAAGCTACATCTTTTGTGCAAAGAAAAACTGAGTTTTGAAATTCTAATTGAAATTAACTGCTAATTTTATTTTAAAAGGCCAAGGCTATATCCTAAAATAGTATATAATGCTAACTTATTTTGAATATTTAAGAAGTTCTAGGTAATGAAAATATTAACTGATCTTCAACTTTTTAGGAACATGATTTTTATACAAAGAACAAATGAAAAGAACAATTACTATGATTATAGCTATTTGGTATATAAAAAGTGATACTTAAGAGGATCTTTATATTAGATAAGGTCTGATGATCAGTAATTCCTAATCATCTGAAAGTCAGGGAATATCTATTATTTATCTTTAAATATTACTCAAAATGCTACTGCTGTACAATTTATCCATGTTCTGAATTCATTTTAATTTTAGATTTGTATAGCAATTTACATGAGCAAAAGTTAAAAGTTAGCTATGTGCTGTGATTTACACAGAGTACAGACATTAGAAAACAAAAAGCCAAGTAAGAAGCGTTTGAATATGTCCCTCTAAGGATTTGGTAAAGTAGTCTATGTTACCTGAACAGGTGCAATAACAGCACAGGGGCCACCTTCAAACTGTTCTAATGCAGATGCCTCTGATTCACTAAACACAAACCCTAAAATGAAAGCAAGTAGCAAAGATTAAAAACGTAATCCAAGTAGTAGTTAAAAGAATTTTCATGTACTTTACTTTGAGAAAGATCACTATCACAACAGCAAACATCTACAATTTATAAGGTACAGTGGTTCTTAATTTTTAAGAGAACCAAAGAATCCTTAGAAAAAGCTATGGAACCAATGAACCTCCCCCAAATATGCACAAGTGTCTGTGCATATACAATCTTACACCTTGGGACCACTCTGGGAAGATAAAGTGGACTTAAGTGCAAGGACACTAAATCTGACTTACTTGTTGAGGTTGGTGATTGAAAATTAGGTCCTTGGGCATGCTAAGCACACACACTACTACAAAATCATGCCCACAGCTCCTAAATCTGACCTTTAAGTAATTTAATTTGCTCTATGGAAGACTAGATAATCTTCTGAATTCAAACAGAATTCTTAGGACTCTTCCCAAACGGTATCTGTTTTATCATTTCAATCTTGGAGTCACATTCCATAAATTAAAAATTAAATGCCATCACAGTTGGGAAGTGCTCACATTGGCTCTATCTTAATTTAAATATTATCCAACTAGTATTAACTGATAGCAGCTAGTGGAAGTTTCTTAGAGGACCCTGAGGTAGAAGTCAAGAGAATCTGGCTATTATATAGAAACCTTTGGAAAAATTGTTTCACCTCCCTAGACCTTATTCTTAAAATGCTCATTGTCAATCTTAACATGCTAGGAATCTATTAAGCTTCATCAATGGTAAAAATTCAGTAATTCAGTTGCCAAATATTTAGTGAACATCAGACATTATACCAGTCATCTAGAATATATGCGTGAACGTCACGATCCCACGTCTGGTAGAGCTAATAGTCTAGCTTAAGTCAGACATACAAACAGATAATTACTAAAATAACACAAGAATGAAGAGAGTGTTGTAGCTACAGAAAGGAATGACTTATTCTGCCTGAATCAAATCATGAGATGACCTCAAAGCTGACCTTGAATAGGAATTTGCCTGGGAAGCAGGAGTGGGCAAATGAAATTCAAGTAAAGAAAACTCTTTATGAAAGGAAAAAAGTTTATATGAGCAGAGAAAATTGAAGAATCAAAGGAACGTTTACTGGAGCTGAAAGGGTTGGATGAATGAGATGGCAAATGAGAAGGGGGAAGATGACAAGAGGTTCATACTGCAAAGGACCAAACCACAACCCAACCTGGCAGAGTGGGAAGAGAAGGTGGGTGTTTTAAGAGCTCTATAGAGAGGGTACTGATGGTACTGACCTTCTTCACCTTCGTGTGGAAAAGAAAAACCATTTTCAAATGGTATTTCTCAGATAAAACTAAGATTTGATTAGTATATGTGAGTAGACTAAGGTTTGGCACAGAAGAAATTAGAGCTGCTCTGAAGTTTCTAGCTTAAGACACCAGGTAATAATAATTGAAGCATGAAATACTGCAGAAGATCCCATTCCGACCCACTTCTTCTCTCTTCTCCCATCTCTTTTCCAAACAGTATTTGAACAAGTACCTCAAATATATTTTTTAAATCCCTTTTAAGATTCCACCAAAAAATTCCAACCAATACTGTCTTATTCTTGTAGTCTCAAAGCACCCCTCCACTAGTCATCAACATGTTTTTTTTTTTCTTACCTCACAGTTTTCTCAACCTAGGATAATCCAGTGTTCAACATATGACTATACCAAATTCATCCTCACCTGAGTTCATCAATAACCAATACAAGCTTCTTTTCACATCCTATCTTACTGAGCCTCCCAGAAAATCACCTAAAATGATGACAACTTCTTAAAAACCTTTGACCCTTAGATTTGGGTCCCTCTTTTTGCATCTGTTCCTTTTCTACTTCTTCTCAGTCTCCATGACCCGTTCTTTTTAAATGTTGATGCCCCTCAGCTCCTCTGCATTAGGAGCTCTGCATTTGTCTTTCTTCCTGTGTGATTTCATCTACTCCCTGAATTTTTATTACTGGTTATAACCAGATAATTCCCAATATTAGCTTAGAGATCAGAACCCCAGACACGAATTACTTAAAATGGCCCTGTATTATCTGGCTTCTGCCTATTGCTCTTACTTCATTCTTTGGCATTCTCCCCTGCAGATTCTTAAAAGCATGCTGAGGTTCTTTCAGATCTTCAAATATTCCTGCCCCTGCCTCCTAGTGCTGGGATTACAAGTATGTACCCATACCTGGTCTGAGTCCCAACCTTTGCACATAATGTTCTTCTGCTTGGAATACCTACCCTTTCTCTGGAAAACATCAACTTATCTTCTAGGCTTCATCCTAAGATAAAGTCCTCTTGGTTCTTAAGCATGTCCATTTCTATCCCACCTGTAATCTACCATATAAACCACCATCATCTCTCACCCATAATATGGTTAAAAAGTTTCCAACCAGATCTACCAGCTCCTTCTCACCTCCTTCTTAATCCCAATCTATTCACCAGAGTTGCAAGATGAATATTTTGAAACAGAAATCAGATTTTGTCACAACTTGTTCAAAACATTTCAACATCCTCTCAATTGCCATTAGAATAAAACTCAAATTCCATTTCATGGTCTGGAGACACTGTAGGATCTACTAATCCACTGACCCTCAGTTTACTCTTATTTTCACTAACTACAATGATCTGAGGTTCTTAGAACATCCCAAGATCTTTCCCTGAAGCTTCCAAGTTTGCTGTTCTGCCTGCATGAAATGCTCTTGCTATTGTCTTTATTACAGCTATATCTTTATTCTTCTGGGCTCAATTTAAATGTTAATTTTTTAGAGAAATATTTCCTGACAAACCTATCTAAGGAGTCTCTCCTAATATGCCACAATACTTTCAGTATTTATAATCTGTAATTATATTGCTAATTTACCTTGTAAGTAACTTGCCTGTTTTACTGACCACTGTCTACCCAAAGTATGTTCTAAAGTAGTTGCTAGATTAATGCTTCTTGAAGTTTTGGGAGGAAAGACAATGGGGATGTTTGTTTCAAAGGATGTCAAGTTCAGTTTCAAAAATTTAAGAACCATTTATCAACATGCAGAAGTGAGACCCAGGGGTCTTGAGCTCAGGGCAAGATTTAGGACTAAAGATAGCAATTTGAATCATCTGAATATGTCAGTTAAAGTGAATGAGAACATGCACAACAAAAATAATGAAGTTGGAAACATTAAAAATGAGAGCAAAAGCTGAGTCAGCAACAGAGACTAATGGACATTATAAAATAGTTGAGAAAAAAACATATGAACTGAGGTTCTAGAGAGGAAAAATCAGAAAAGGAATGAACTCTTACAAATGCTGAGTAAAAACATAAATTATAATACTGGATTAAGCATGTCACTAGCAATACTAAAAAAGGAAATTTAGACTGCTGAAGAGAACAGCCAAACTCCATAGGCCTCAAGTATAGTCCAAATTAGAAGAAACAGTAAAAGTAAACTATTTGTTAAGCAAGTGTGGCAAGAAGGCAAAAAGATGATAGCTTGAAGGGTAGTTGGATAAATAATTACTGTTTTTGTAGACTAAATGGTAAGTTGTATTTTTTTTTAAAAAACATGAAAAGAGTGATTTATATGAGAAAAAAACAAATTTAAGGACTCCAAGTTTTAGAAGGAGAACTGAGAAAGACTGGTGTGTCAATAGTGGTGTTGGCTAAAGAGAGAGGTTCTCAAATGTGGTCTACAGACTTTTTGGAAGTCCTTGAACCCTTTCAGGGGGCCCAATGCAGGTTAAAATAATTTCCATAATAATAATAGACACCATTTGCCCTTTTCACTCTGTTGACATTCACAGTGATGGCACAAAGGCAATAGTGAATTAAATTGCAGGTACTTTAGGACACATCAGGATAGTGCTATCAAACTGATCTAGTAGTGATAAATGCCATCCTAGAAATATACACAGCCAATTTAACTTGAGAACACTCTTACTGATGTAATAAAAGCAACTAATTTTATTGCCCTTGAATGCAATGTCTTCTTTTCTAAATATTCTTTGTGACAAATTGGAAACTACCTATAATGCCTTACTGCTACCAACCAAAGTATGATGATCTAGCTACCATTACCTAAAGCAAAAGCACATGTGCAATTTTTTTTAAACTGCAACCTAAACTAGTTGCTTTTTAAATTGGGGTGCTCGATTTCTTTTTGTTGCTGTTTGTTTTTACTTTGAAGAATTATCAATAAACTACAATTACTCAGACTTGAGTGTATGGTAGACATTTTCTCAGAAGTGAATCAAGAAATGAATCAAGACACATCAAGGAAAATCACTGACAGTATTTTTACCTGTGATAAAATTTCAAGTTCTCAAGCAATAATGTGGAAAACCTGAGTCCACAACTGTGAGTTTGGCAGCTTCTCAATTTTTAAAAGTTTTCTGATGAGATCAGTAGTAACAAATGTGACTTTTGATATTAAATAATACATTAAATTTACAAGGCTATCATAAACCAGTGGATCAACAATTTCAAAATGACCAATACATGATGTTAATAAATTAATGAACAGGTAAAAGATCCATTTAAAATGCAAGACAGACAGGAGGTGGAAAACTTCAAATTCCATAGTGCAACCAATTTTGAAGTCACTACCATGTGAGTTTTGGTATAGTATGAAAGAAGAATATCTACAATTGTTTCAATGCAATTTTCTTTTTCTTTCTTTTGGTATGACATTTGAACTCAGGGCCTTGTGCTTGAGTAAGGTTTTATTTGGGTTTGTTAGGACGTAGTTACTTACATTGTGTTCTCATACTCAAATTATTTTCTCATTTTAAAAGGAATTTGCTTATCATAAATGGCTGATTTCTGATTAATCTGAAATTATTCTAATAACTGATCATATATATATACACACACATAAAATTTTCTATCACAGTTCTCTCTAAAGTCAAAGAAAAGCCTTATGTAGTTTCATGTTTTATAGTTCATAACTAATTTAAACTTGAGCTATTAGCCTCTGCA